TGACCCGGGAACAGCATTGCTGTACCTAAAAAATGAACATAACAGGAGGGTTAATCTTTTGTCATCTCTTTATTGGACTTTGTGAGTCTCTGGGTGTCAGACTTACGGTTTTCCTGGAGGACTTTAGCTAACAGCAGCTTTTAGCTGGAGTTGTTTCTGTTCTCTGAACTCTGAGAGGCTTCAGAGGAGTTTATTTCGCAGTTTTGTGTTTTATTTGGTCATTTTGTGATCGTTTTGTCATTCTTTTTTAGCTTTAACTCCACATTTAGTTGATTTTGTGTTCATTCTTGCAGTTTTGAGTCGGTTTCTGGTCACTATCTGTGCTTATTTCTGCTGTTTTGTGTCCTTTTTCTTCACATTTTGGTACTTTTTTTAGTCGATTTTTCCAGTTTTGCATCTTCTTTTGTCATCTCTTTATCTTTTTTCATCTCTTTATTAGACTTTGTGAGTCTCTGGGTGTCAGACTTGTTGTGAACTCACTGTTTTCCTGGAGGACTTTAGCTGGAGCCTTTAAGCTAACAGGAGCATTTTGCTGGAGTTGTTTCTGTTCTCTGAACTCTGAGAGGCTTCAGAGGAGTTTATTTTGCTGTTTTGTGTTTTATTTGGTCATTTTGTGATCATTTTGTCCCTTTTTTTAAATCTTTAGATCCACATTTGGCTGGTTTTGTGTTCATTCTTGCAGTTTTGAGTCGGTTTCTGGTCATTATCTGTGCTTATTTATGCTTTTTTGTGTCTTCTTTTGTCATTTTGTGTTCAGTTTTTCCCTTTTTCTCCACATTGGTACTTTTTTAGTCCCTTCCTGCAGCTTTGCTTCTCCTTTTGTCATTTCTTTCTCTTTTGTCATCTCTTTATTGGACTTTGTGAGTCTCTGGGTGTCAGACTTACGGTTTTCCTGGAGAACTTTAGCTAACAGGAGCTTTTAGCTGGAGTTGTTTCTGTTCTCTGAACTCTGAGAGGCTTCAGAGGAGTTTATTTAGTAGTTTTGCTTCTTCTCTTTATCCTCAGCTGGACTTTGTGAGTCTCTGGGTGTCAGACTTGTGGACTCACGGTTCTCCTGGAGGACTTTAGCTGGAGCCTTTAAGCTAACAGCAGCTTCTAGCTGGAGTTGTTTATGTTCTCTGAACTCTGAGAGGCTTCAGAGGAGTTTATTTAGCAGTTTTGTGTTTTGTTTGGTCATTTTGTGATCCTTTTGTTCCTTTTTTTAAATCTTTAGTTCCACATTTGGCTGGTTTTGCGTTCATTCTTGCAGTTTTGAGTCGGTTTCTGGTCATTATCTGCGCTTATTGCTGCTGTTTTGTGTCGTCTTTTGTCATTTTGTGTTGAGTTTTTAACTTTTCTCCACATTTTGGTACTTTTTATAGTCCCTTCCTGCAGTTTTGCATCTTCTTTTGTCATTTCTTTCTCTTTTGTCATCTCTTTATTGGACTTTGTGAGTCTCTGGGTGTCAGACTTGTGGACTCACTGTTCCCTGGAGGACTTTAGCTGGAGCCTTTAAGCTAACAGCAGCTTCTAGCTGGAGTTGTTTCTTTTCTCTGAACTCTGAGAGGCTTCAGAGGAGTTTATTTTGCAATTTTGTGTTTCATTTGGTGATTTTGTGATAATTCTGTCCCTTTTTTAAATCTTTTGCTCCACATTTGGCTGGTTTTGTGTTCATTCTTGCAGTTTTGAGTCGGTTTCTGGTCATTATCTGTGCTTATTTATGCTTTTTTGTGTCTTCTTTTGTCATTTTGTGATGACTTTTTCCCTTTTTCTCCACATTTTGGTACTTTTTTAAGCTAACAGCAGCTTTTAGCTGGAGTTGTTTCTTTTCTCTGAGCTCTGAGAGGCTTCAGAGGAGAGCTTCCTGGTTTCTGTTTGGCTGCTTTGACATCAGTGTTTACTGGGTCTGCGGCTCTGATTGGACCCTGAAACGGTGACATCACTCAGTCTGGAATATGCAGCAATAAAACACCAACAAGTCAGAAATAACAACGCGTCAGCTAAAAATAGCAGCGGGGGCTTTTTGTGGAGATCTGAGTGACTAATAAAGTTCATCAGATCAGTCTGCTGCTGCTTTCTGGTTTTTACAAAAATAAACTTGGCTGGAGAGGGTTTAATAAAGTCCTGAAACAGGAAAATGAACCTTTGAAGTAAAAACTGAGAGCTTTAATCTGTGGAAACATCCAGAGAATCAGATCACATGAGGAGAGGCGGGTTGGTCGTTGAGCTGATTTTTGTCTGACGCAGACAGTTGAACCTCAAATGCCCCCCCCCAAAAAAGCTGCAGGCTTTCATATGAAAACATAAAATGTAATTTGAGATAATGTCCTTCTTGCATATCTGATTAGACGCTGATCTGCTCAAACATGACATGTGAACAACTAGAAATATAAAATGTTGTTAAATGTACTTTTTAAAAAAAGTAATGCAAAAAAAGTTTGTCAATTAAAAAAAAAGCCAGATGAAAAACAGCTAATTCAATTTAATGTTAACAAACAAAAAAAAGTATGTACATAAATCCAGAAAATGCTTAAATGTAAAAATATAGAATACAATAAAATCCTTAAAAGCAAAAAAAGTTTATTTAATAAT